ACTATACGGTGGATTTTTTTATTAAATAAATAAATAAATATAAATATAAATATATATATATATATATATATATATACTGTAATAACAATAAAACATAAATATAGTAACATGATGAATACTATACATGAATACAGAAAAATTTCAAATTTTCAACTTTACAAAATATTTTTAAGATTTTAAATAACTAATAAGCATAAAGTAATAGAAAAAATGACAATAAAGTTATTTTATAGTTAATTATTATGATTAATTTTTTGAGAGCCAAACTAATAATTTTGTTAAATCATTTTTCAAACATTAATAAAATTACATAGTTTTTGTTTTTGAATATTTTTTTTTTAAAACGTTGTATATTCGTATTTCACCGTATATACAGACCGTATAGCTTTCACTGTATTAAATAATTGTATAGCTATAATACAGTACAGCTTTCCACAGTACAGCTTATATACGGCCGTAAAGACCGTCTTTTAGAAGAGGGAGTAAAACAAAGAAGTGAAGAACATAACCACATGAATTGAACCGGCTCCGTATCATTTGACCGGTACGCGTTTCGCGACGTGTGATTTGATATATTTCACTTTCGGTCCAAAAGTATTCTGTATTTTCGTTAAGTTGTCCGACTTTTTTGGTTTGAAATTGTTTTTCCCATTACCGTTCTCTGCTCCATTGGGTTCTTTCCTCTTTTCTCCCAGATTCATCAATCTCTCCTACCGCCGCGAGAGAGTTAAAAACTCACCGGACGTTTCAAACCATCATCCGATTATTCGTTAGATCTAGATTTGAGCGTTGGTGAGAGATTTCCTGGATCTGTGATACGTTCCAGGAAACATGGCGACTATGAAAAGTTTGATAGGTCTGATAAACAAAATCCAGAGGGCTTGTACTGTCCTCGGAGATCATGGTGGTGAAGGAATGTCGCTTTGGGAAGCTCTCCCAACCGTCGCTATCGTTGGTGGCCAGGTTTGATCTCTTTCTGTTGAATATACTATTTGTATTTTAAGATCCGATCTCACTTCTCGCCTTTTAATCTCTACGTTTCTGATTTATCATTTTGTTTGGTTGATTCTGTGGATCAGAGCTCCGGAAAATCTTTAGTTCTAGAAAGTGTTGTGGGAAGAGATTTTCTGCCTCGTGGATCTGGTCATTTTAAATCTCTCGTTAAGCAATTTTGTCTGGCGTCTCCTATGTTTGGAATTGAATCTAGTTGTTCGGAAATTTTCGTGTTCTGAGCTCTGTGATCTTAAGAGCATTACATGACCATTTTGACTACTTCGAAAAACCTAGCTCCCTATTACCGTGCCTTGTGAATAGTGTTTTAATAATGCCGATTTCCTCCTTACTCTGTGTGTTGGTGGATCATATTGTTCATTTCTTATACCGTCTCGAAGTGACCATCCAAATTTGATACCATGTGATTTGATTTATCATTATCATTATCAGGTATTGTTACAAGGAGGCCATTGGTGTTGCAGCTTCATAAGACTGAAGAAGGGATAACGGAGGACGCTGAGTTTCTTCATGCTCCGAAGAAGAGATTTGCTGATTTTGGTAGGTTGATTTAATCTTTCACGCTAATTGCTGGAAACAATGAAATCCACAAAGGCATGTCGGGCTATTGAAGTGTTCTTCTCTTTTCAGCTGCTGTGCGGAAGGAAATTGAGGATGAAACTGATCGTATTACTGGGAAGTCAAAACAAATCTCAAACATTCCAATTCAGCTGAGCATATATTCTCCTAATGGTTTGTGCTTACGACCATATTTCTTGTAATGCATTCCTATTGTAGTTAGTTCAGAAACTAACACAGTAAATTTTCTATATATTGATAACAGCTGTAATGAGCTAAACAGTAGTATGATTAGATTTGAAGATTCCAATTTTGCTAGCCTCTTTCATGTGACTTTGATTTCTCACTTTACTCTTTTCTCTACAGTTGTTAATCTGACGCTCATAGATCTTCTGGGTTTGACCAAGGTTGCTGTAGGTAAGAGTTTAATATTTTTTATCCAGTAGCTTGTGCTTAAACTAGTCACTGATATGAATATTAGTCTTGTAGATGGACAACCGGATAGTATTGTCCAAGACATTGAATATATGGTCCGCTCTTATGTTGAAAAGGTCAGTCTTGCTCTAAGCTATTGCTGAGACGGTTTCGGCAATAGTTTCATCTATTCCAACCAAGTTGGGCCGCAGAATGCATTTGATCATCATCGATAACTATAATGTCAACTCTGGAAGCTTATCCATGAATTGTTCTAACTGCAGCCAAATTGCATCATATTGGCTATTTCTCCAGCTAATCAAGATATTGCCACCTCAGACGCTATAAAACTTGCTAGAGAAGTTGATCCTACAGGTACGACCTAAATGTAGTTTCCTGTAAGTAGTGACTTTTTTACACTCCACAACATTTTTTTTTAACCTTCTAATATGTTTCTGTAGGCAAAAGAACTTTTCGAGTTGCAACCAAGCTTGGTATCATGGATAAAGGAACAGATTGTCTAGATGTAAGCGTCTTTCTTGATTTCTGCATCTTGGGGTGTCAACTAATTCAGTTACTTGTTTAATATACTTTGACACCTCCTCTACCTATTTGATGAAGGTTCTTGAGGGAAGGTCGTACCGTTTGCAACATCCCTGGGTTGGAATTGTGAGTCGTTCACAAGCTGATATTAATAAGAGGGTCGATATGATTGCTGCACGTAGAAAAGAGCGAGAATATTTTCAAACAAGCCCTGAATATGGGCACTTAGCCAGTAGAATGTGATCAGAAAATCTAGCAAAACTCTTGTCTCAGGTACCCTTTGGATTTACTTGCACAGATCTCATTCAAATTAAAGCTTGAATGCTTAGCTTTGACTTTCTTCCTTCTTTGTTTTCCTCTCTATTAGCACTTAGAGACTGTTATCGGGCAGAAAATACCCAGTATTGTTGCTTTGATCAACAAAAGCATCGATGAGATAAATGCAGAGCTGGATAGGATTGGGAGATCCATTGCAGTAGACTCAGGAGTAAGAATTTAAACCATTATGTAATTGGTATTCAGAGTTGCGTCAGAAATCGTATGGTTAGTCACTCTCTAATTATGATTCCAGGCCCAACTTTACTCAATTTTGGAACTCTGCCGGGCATTTGATTGTGTCTTTAAGGAGCACTTGGATGGAGGGTAAGTGATTTAGTTATTCTGCTTCTTATTCGTAAAGCTCATAAGTTGTTGTCGGTGTACTATTACATTGCGATTGTGATGATCAATTTGGAGTCTATGAAAGTTTTTAAAAGATAGTATCGTTTCCAGAGTAATGTGCTGCCCTATAATGAGTTTTGCTTACCTATAATGTGGTGGAGACCGGATTTATGGAGTTTTCGACCATCAATTACCAGCAGCCTTAAATAAACTTCCCTTTGATCGACATCTCTCGACCAAAAATGTTCAGAAGGTTGTTTCAGAAGCAGATGGTTATCAGCCGCATCTTATTGCTCCTGAACAAGGATACAGAAGGCTCATTGATGGATCCATAAGCTATTTCAAAGGATCAGCTGAAGCCACTGTCGATGCAGTATGCTTCAAAAATTTATTAGATTCCATTACTTTTGAGACTTAATTTTATGTAAATTGACTATATTCTTGATTGCTGTTTGATATTTCCTAGGTGCATTTCGTATTGAAGGAGCTGGTCAGAAAGTCAATTTCAGAAACAGAGGTAAGAACTGAGAAGAGGACTTTGGTTTTGAGAACTCCTCCTAGCTCTTTACGTTCTGTTTCAGTCCTAAAATGTCATTGCTGTTTTTTTCAGGAACTGAAGCGATTCCTGACTCTAGCAAGCGATATAGCAGCTGCTGCAAATGAAGCTCTTGAAAGATTCAGAGACGAGAGCAGGAAAACGGTTCTGCGGCTGGTGGATATGGAATCCAGCTACCTCAGGTTGAGTTCTTCAGGATGAACCCGAGAAAGAGAAACCAAACCCAAGAATTGCCTCACCACCAAACGCAGACCCCTACTCCGATAACCACTTCAGAAAGATCGGTATGTGTCTCTCTCGCCTCCCTTTACTTATGAATGACACATTATCAAGTCTTTGTTTGTTGACTTTGGATATAACTCAGGATCCAACGTGAGTGCATACACAAACATGGTCTGCGACACATTGAGAAACTCTCTTCCTAAAGCTGTCGTTTACTGCCAAGTTAGAGAAGCTAAGAGATCGCTGCTCAACTTCTTCTACGCTCAAGTTGGCAGGAAAGAGGTAAACTATATTATTACCCTTTGGATTATTTTGTTGCTCGAGAGAAAATGCCCAAATGGAGAACAATATTTATAAAAATGATGCAGAAGGAGAAGCTGGGTGTGATGTTGGACGAAGACCCACAGCTGATGGAACAAAGAGGAACATTAGCTAAACGGCTCGAGCTTTACAAACAAGATAGAGACGACATCGATGCTGTGGCTTGGAAGTAAGGGTTTGCTAAGAAGTATTCTTTATATTGTTAATTTCTTTGTTCGTGTGGGCACTGCATTATAATAGATATGTTGGGAGTTTTAACTTCCAATCCACACAAACACCCACACAATTACTCATGTTTTCTTCGGTCGCTAATTTCTATCACAACTTTCCCACTTTTTTTGGTGTATCGATTCTTGAATACTGGTTTTAGAACAGTTAAGACATATTTTGATGTCGCATTCTTTTACATTAGACAAAGAGGATGCAAACTAATGAACATATGGAAGAAAGTGACGTATGTTTTTTATTCAATTGGTCTCAACTTGTGCCATTATTCAGATCCAGTTCAAGCTGTATGAAAATAAATAGACGACAAATAAGAAGCAAAATTTCTTGAAAATCCAATTTATATCTCTTCTTTAGAAAGTACAGACAGTTTAGTAAAAGTCATCCATAATCACAAAATCTGATCCATGGGTTCAAAATGTTGTTTTTTTCCTCTGAAAAGGGATATGAAAATCCGACATTGATGAGGTTCCTGGTGGCAACAAGATCAATGGACCCAGACAAGGCAGCAAAGATGTTTGTAGATTGGCAAAAATGGAGAGCCTCCATGGTTCCTCCAACTGGGATCCCAGAATTGGAAGTGAAGGATGAATTAGAATTCAGAAAGATCTGTCTTCAGGGTCCAACCAAATCAGGACACCCTTTGATGCTTGTCATAACCTCTAAGCATTTTCCTTCTAAGGATCAAAATAACCTCTCACTTGTTTTGGACTTTCACTTTCATTGGAAAATATTCTGTTCGTTGAGTAGATAAGTATTTAGTTTGGGTACACCAAATAGGTTTTTGTAATCATAGAACTGATCAGCTTCTTACCTTTTTCTGGTTATTGAGTAGTTTCATTTGAATCCAGGTGATCCAGTAGACTTCAAATGCAAGAAAGTTTCTTGAGTCTATCCACATTATGTGTGTTTTTAGTTGATTCTAGAGATTAGTATCTATAAACTTATCTTTTGTGTTTGGTGTTGCAGAGTTCGTTGTTTATGTTCTAGACAAAACTATTGCAAGGTGTTTTACACATTATTGAAACCAAAAACCCTTCATTATGCTGATCTTCCTGTTGTTCCTCGATTCTATTACAAGTTTTTTTTGTTCATATGTTTCAGTGGCATCAAAGGCAAAGAAGTAGGAGATGAGAAGTTAGCTGGCGTTATTGATCTGGCAAACATTACATACAAGAACCTTGATGCTCGTGGATTGATCACCGGCTTTCAATTCTTACAAGTAAGCATCTCTCTTCTTTCTGAAACAATGTAGCTATCACACAAGAAAAGAAGTCATGTCTTTTAAGTTGGAAAATGTTTCTCTAGTCTTACTACCCGGAACGCCTTGCAAAATGCTACATCTTGCATATGCCCGGATTCTTCGTGGCCGTCTGGAAATTCGTCTGCCGCTTTCTAGAGAAAGCAACTCAGGAAAAGGTTTGATCCTTAATCCTTCTCTTAATGTATCTATCTATCTCTAGTGGTTCTTAAGCAATGAAGCACATAAATTATGGTTTTGTTGTTGTATAGATTGTGATAGTAACGGATGAAGAAGAACAGAGAAAATTCGAGGAGGATATCGGAGCAGATGCTTTACCGGAAGAGTACGGTGGCCGAGCTAAGCTCAGTAGCTCACAGCAATCCAAGATGTTCTTCTTCCTCAGACTGCTCCAGTAACTCTAACAAACAATGTCTGACTCTTTAACTTTTGGAAGCATTAACCTGAAACCCCTAACCCCTGCTTTAATCTACTTGACTATTATTACTTAATTTTGTTACGTCTTTTAGAAGCAATGCAAAACACACTGAGGATGAGGATGGAACATGTTTGATATCTATTCACGCAGGAATCGACTATCAGACGAGACTAACTTCTAGAAACTTAATGTCCTCTTTTTGTCCAAAAGAAGAAATCAAACACATGAGAAAGCTGTGTTAATGTACGCGATCTGGTGAATGAGCAGTTTCAAACATCATGCTGTTTCTGTTTCTTAAATTAAAAAATCCTGCTGTTTTGACTTTTGAAGATGTTGGTAAATTCACTAACACTTTAAAAGTCCCAAACTTTTTCTATCAGCCGCCTCCAAAATCTCTCTATCTCTCCACTCCTTCTTCCTTACGGCGGCGACAATGGCGACGTTCACTCATCAAACCTCACAAACCCATTTCCTCTCTCGCCTTCCTCTCAGAGCTAAACCCAGACACTTCTCCGCAAGAGTCAAAATGTCTCTCCAAGAATCTGCGCCTTCCCTCGCCGTCGTTGGAGTTACCGGAGCCGTTCGGACAAGAATTCCTCTCCGTCTTATCCGATCGAGACTTCCCTTATAGCTCCGTCAAGATGCTTGCATCGAAACGCTCCGCAGGGAAACGTCTAGCCTTCGATGGCCGTGAATACACGGTGGAGGAGCTCACGGCGGAGAGCTTCGACGGCGTAGACAAGGCTTTGTTCAGTGCTGGTGGATCCATAAGCAAGGAGTTTGGTCCTCTCGCGGCGGAGAAAGGAACCATTGTTGTTGATAATAGCTCGGCATTTAGAATGGTGGATGGAGTACCGCTTGTGATTCCGGAAGTGAATCCAGAAGCAATGAAAGGGATTAAAGTTGGAATGGGCAAAGGGCTTTGATTGCAAACCCTAATTGCTCCACCATTATCTGTTTGATGGCTGTTACTCCTCTTCATCATCACGCAAAGGTTCGATTTTTATTCTGAAATCTTAGTCCAAATTTGAAAGGGTAGTTAGAGAATCAATGGAAACAATGAAAGATTTAGACTTTTGTGCTTTGAATAATGTTTGATTGGTTCTAATAGGTGAAGAGAATGGTGGTTAGTACATATCAAGCAGCTAGTGGTGCTGGTGCTGCAGCTATGGAAGAGCTTGTCAGCAGACTCGCCAGGTTTTGTTTCAATTTCAGCCTTGTTTGATTGAATTGTTTAATGATTGTGCTGAGTAGTGATTATGTTTCTTCTTCTTCTTATTTTGCATTGGTGTGTTTTCTTAGGTTTTAGAGGGTAAACCTCCGACTTGTATCATCTTTGGACAACAGGTGATTGCTTAATTTGCTTATAGATTGTATTTCGAATGTGCTGATTATGAAATCCCTCTTTGAGTAATGTGATGGTTTTCATGTTGTCCTGCAGTATGCATTTAACTTGTTTCGCATAATGCTCCTATTCTTGACAACGGTTATAACGAAGAGGAAATGAAACTTGTGAAGGAGACAAGGAAGATCTCGGTGAATGGTTACTTAAGTGCTATCGTTGTGTTCATTTCACTGTGATCTTATGTCCAAAATGTTGAGTCTGGTAAGAGGTCTCGCACCACTTTCTTGCTCTTCACAGAATGACACTGAAGTAAAAGTAACAGCGACGTGTATACGTGTCCCAGTTATGCGTGCTCATGCAGAAAGTGTAAATCTCCAATTTGAGAATCCTCTCGTCTCGATGAGGTAATATAATACTCATGAAACCTGTTTTGTATAGAATCTGTATTTCAAGTTCTTGAAGCATCGGTGTTCTGTATTTACTAATGGTTACAGTACAGTCTGTGAATTCAGGCTGGACATATTCATTTGCGGAGACCAAATACGGAAAGGAGCCAAGAATTGTCTCATCTTTCTATTTGACCAATTTTGTTACTTTCTTTCTCCATTCATAAAGTAGTCTCTGAAATCTGAACTCATCCCCACCTCTTGGCAATTTCCCGGTTCGAATCTGTACCGACTTGGTTAACGGAAGAAGCAATTAGGCAAGTGCTTTAAAATAAGAACGGTCAACTGGGCTGACTTTGTTTCTGCGATTAGGCAATTTGGGCTGACTTTGATTCTGCCAACTGGGCTAGAAGGACGCATTAGTTTTCATATAATAGTTACAGGCCCACCACATACGATTATGGAGGGAAAAGAATGTATAATTTATTAGTTATTGATGTTCATTTCCCTCCACTGTTTGAGAAATTGAAAATTTAGTAATTATTGAAAATTTAGTTTGATTTGACACATGATTAATAATAAAGATTTTTAATAATACAAGGAAAAAAAATAGATAAGGTGAGAGAAGAAAGTACAACGGTCAGTCGAGAGTATGGTTTCTGGTCATTTATTGGTAACTGTGTGTATATATATATATATATATATATATATATATTTCGACTGGTAAAAAAAAATAGTACGATTTTAACAAAAAAAAAAAAAAATAGCGTACGTATGCGAATTGTTGGTGAAGTTCATTTGGTGCTTCCCTTATTAAGCACAATCTGTGGCCCTTTTTGTAATTTTATACGGTACTGTATATCCTCGGCAATTAATGTTTTTTTTTTTTTTGTAAAATCTCTTTGCAATTTAATTTAGAAAACTACAGTATAATAATATCAAGACTCTTAAACGGATAAAGCCATAATAAATTCTCCAAATATTAGATAAACTAAGTTTTTGTGGCTTTTTGGAACATAACCAAAGTTGATTAAAGTATTAAACATAAAAACGACCGACATATGGTTCCACCAAAATAACGACATCGACCATACAATCCCTAACGAAAAGGTCCATTCTCCAGAAGGCGAAAATAAGAAACAGAATTAGGGCTTCGTCAAGAAACACAACATCGATCATCAAATCAAACGGGAGGGATTATCAAACGAATCACACCGTTCTTGGCGATGGTTTTGATCCGACGGCTAGGGATGCTGATAAGAGTATCAAGCATAGCCACGTCGCCAGAATAGAACCGACCACCTGAGTCGTGGCTAACGGCAGGAGCTTCACCAGTCACCATCACTCTCCCGTTCGTAACGGAGATGGTGAACCTGTCTTTGGGAACGCCTGGCATGTCTACACGCACGTATAGGCTGCCGTTTTGGAGCTTCTTCGACTCATAGGCCATCTCCGATCCTTGAAGCACACATGGGTGTGGCTTCAACACCCGACCCGTTAACGTCGGGTCTGCTCCACATATATCACAACAATTAAAAATATTCCCTACGTATAGAGATATGTAACTATAATAATTTAACTCTGTAAAAAATGAATATAATTATAACATAAGCTCGCGGTGAAGGAAATATATGTGAATACCAAAGGGGTCCGAGGCATGCGGAAATTTGTGAGGACCATAGCTACGAAGATCTGTGACCACAAATAAGAGAAGACAAGCATTTTAGGTATGTTATTTACAAAAATTAGTGAAGTTAAATCAAGATACGAAAATTAAGTTGGTGGGAATGGCACATCGAATAAAAAAAAAGTAATACAAACCATCTCGGAAATCTGGGCCACCAAGAAACGCTGTCATAAACAAATTCAAACGAAATTTTATCAGAAAAAAAGACACTTATAAATTAAATGACTGAATAAATAATTTTTTAGAAGAAAAAAAATACAAAAAAGAATTACAGATGGAGGAAGAGCGATTTGAAGTGCTCTGTCTCTTGAAGAGGAGAAGCCTGAGAACGCCGTCACACATGTGGGAGGTGAAGTTGGAGATTGAGCAGCATTTGCAGACGAGCCCTGTAGCGGTGAGGTAGATCCGAGGAGAGGAGTCGTGTTTGTGCTCCTTCGGTGCTTTGGCGGAGATAGACACAGTTTTCCTCGTCGGATCAATCGTAACCCTCACGCCGTCGTCCGGAACGCCGGGAAGGTCAATCCGAATGAACATCTCCTCGTTCTCAACCATCTTGAACTCGGTGAATCCTTTTGGCCCATCTGCCAGAAACTGGTTGTTAATCGCGTAAAACCCATCTGCTCCATCCATCAACACCAAAACAGACATAAAAAGAAAAATCAGCGAGTCATTGTGAGAAATCTGACGAAACTATAGTAAAGGGTTTCGCAAAAAAAAGAAAGAAAAAAAAAACTATGGTAAGAGGGAAAATGCGAATGAGATCTGATTATGGTTTCAAAGATCTTACCGTCAGATGTAAGGACAGGGACGACCATGATTCAACGACAAGAGAGCAATTTTTTCTGAGTTTTTTGTTTATCAAAAAAAAAAATTACAGTTTTCTACAGCTATTCTTTAGGGTCTGTGCTCATTTATACTCTTAGCATTTAGGGTTTTTGGAAGAGATGGGCAAAGAGGAGGGAAGCACTGAGTTGTCATATGAAAACGACAAATAATAAACGACAAATTTGGGATCTCTCTTACGTTTGCGATTTGCTCATGCACCAGTATTAAACACGTGTCGTCCTCTCATTTGTGAATCAATTTTTTCACTTTTACTTTTATATGGTGTTTTTTTCCGTTGTCTCCATATTTTATGTAAGATTTTACAAATGAACGTAATCTATATAATATGATAAGTTAAAAAAATGTGAGATAAACCCAAAACAAAGTTATAAAGAAACAGATTCACCAAGATAAATTAATGTTTTGAAATATTTCCCTTCCTTGTACGCCACATTCATTTTCTTACTTTAATTTATAGCACTCCCTTGTCATATGTGATTTGATTGTCTAATCATGATGTAATATGTGAAACAGTCTGAATTTTTTCTACAGTTTGTTAATAGCTTTAATATATGGTCAGTGTGGAATCAACAACAATAAGAAATTGTCTACACTAATTCTGACAAGAAATCGTGCCTCTGGAAGAGAGACAAACATCCTCATGAATATCAATACCGTTCGAACAATATTTTTACATGTAAATTTGGCTTTGAATTCTTGACAACAACATTTTAAAAGAAAAAATTGATGAGTCTTGTTGAGCCTCGTATCAAGTTCAGCTATTATATCAAGATTTTTAATTGATCGATTTCTCCTTTTTGAAACCTGCCTCTATTTTTAACCTAGTGTTTTTCAACACTTTGATCTTTGTTTCAAAGTTTCTGAATTTCTTGTCAGATTCTTCAATTGTATCTCCCAACTTTTGCCTCTAATCAGTCATCACATTCGATTTTTCCGCCTTATATCCGGTTCTTAGGTTCAGATATTTCTTATCTCATTTTGTTGTCAGATGACATGATTTAATAGACAATTTCCTTGTGATGCAGAAAAGATCTCTCTATCATATCTTTTCTTCTCTGTATTATTGAAAATATGTTTTAATTTAGCTTAAAAAAATAAAGACATTTTTTCAGTTACGATGTGTCAAAAACAGGTTTGGAAAGGCAAGTGGTCTCTTTTCACCACTTTATCACATTAGCAGCGACGATCCATAGCGATGGAGTTCCAGATCTGTGTTGTAAACTGTGTTGTTCTATTGATTAATGAATGAGATTTCGATACATATATATACATGATGAGGGGAGACAAATCCCCATTGGGCTAGTAAACCCTAAAGCCCAAAAGCCCACTAAGTACAATATAGGCCGTCATAAGGAGAATCTTCAAGAACATGGGCATGGGCCTTCTAGGACATGGACATGGGCCTTCTAGAATATGCATAAGGTCCACGGTTATGGAGTCCTTCCAACATGTGGTTTATAACACTCCCCCTTGGATGACATAACCGTGTAGATGCCAAAGGATCTCAGTAATACGCTTGGGGATGCTGCCTCATTAAAACCTTACCAGGAAAACCCATTGGGACAAAACCATGGTTAAGGAAAAAGAGTACAGCACGTATTACTCCCCCTGTTTTGGTCATCCCTGCAAGTCCTTAAGTCTCCGCATTCCAATTTGATGCGTGAGCTTCCTCAATGTCGATGTTGGTAATGCCTTGGTAAAGAGATCGGCTGAGTTGTCGCTGGATCGAACTTGTACCACTCGAACTTCTCCATCCCTTTGCAAGTCATGCGTGAAGAAGAACTTTGTTAGAATGTGCTTCGTCCGATCTCCCTTGATGTAGCCGTCCTTGAGCTGAGCGATACAGGCTGTGTTGTCTCCTCATATGATGGTCTTTGATGTTGTAGTAGCTGCGCCTTGAAGAAGGCTGCCTACGTACCCTTGGAAGGGATCAAGCCACACGTAGTTCCTATCTATTGACCATGCCATAATCTGATTTTACCTGCATCAGCAAAACAAACTAAACCAAAGCAAACTAGACCTTCTTTGGTTAGATCAGTATAGAATAAAACCCAAATAAACAAACATAGGAAGAATAGAATTTAAAATTTAACCAAACCTTCCTTCAAACCTTTCTAGTGCCTTTGGGTTGATCATGAACTAAATTTAGGCAAAGGAGGTTCACGGCAAAACATATGTCTGGTCTAGTGTGGCTAGCCAAGTACATTAACGCTCCTATGGCACTAAGGTATGGCACTTCAGGATCGAGAACTTCTTCCTCATCCTTCTTTGGACCGAATGGATCCCTATCCAATCCGAGGCTTCTCACCACCATTGGGCTGCTCAATGGGTGGGCCTGGTCCATATTGAATCTCTTGAGTACTTTTTCAGTATATGCCTTTTGATGCACAAGGATTCCATTATTCACGTACTCAAGTTGCAATCCCAAACAGAATTTTGTCTTGCCTAGGTCTTTCATCTCGAATTCTTTCTTTAGATATTTGACTGTTTGGGCGATTTCCCCAGAGGTTCCAAGGATGTTCAAATCATCCACATATACTGCTATTATCACAAACCCTTCGTTTGCAAATTTCTTTATGAAGATACATGGACTGATGGGATCATTCTTATAACCTTCTCTGACTAGGTACTCGCTTAATCTATTGTACCACATGCGTCCACTTTGTTTCAGTCCATAAAGCGATTTGTTCAGCCTTATGCAGTATTGGTCTCGAGACCCTTTCTTATCTTTATCTTTGAGCTCAATACCCTCTGGTAATCTCATATATATCATCCAGTGGACTTATATAAATATGCAGGCATTACATCCATTAGCCGCAAATCAAGTCTTTTTCTTTATATAGCCAGACTTAGCAAAATTTAAATGTCTTAGCATCCACCACAGGGGAGTATGTTTCTTCATAATCTATCCCCGGTCTTTGTGAGAATCCTTGTGCTACAAGCCGTGCCTTATATCTCACGATTTCATTATTCTCATTTCTCTTCTTCACAAAGACCCATTTGTGTCCTACTGGTTTTTACATCGAATGGTGTCCTTAAGGTCGGACCAAACTCATTCCTTTTCTTAATGATTCTTAGCTCCACGTTTTATGGTCTTGTACCATTTAATCAATCAAGTCTTTGAGTGCACTCTAGTATAGACGTGGGCTCCTGATCCTCATTTATCTTATATGTTCCATTATGTTCCAGACATGCAAAATCATCTTATGTCGACATTTCTTATATGTTCCATTATGTTCCATTGGCGTCCCAAGCTACATTATATGGTACCTGTACCTTAGAGCCGGCCGGCCTTATCTCCATGTCTGGGATGGTTTCCTTAGTAACCTCGGATTCCTATTGCACCTTTCTTTGATTTTCGAGGATTTTTATCTTTGGAACCTATTGGTCTACCACGTTTCTTTCGTGTGTTAGACTCGGTAGCAATTTCATTGATTCGCTTTTGGATATCAATACGTACTGGTGCATTACAAGCTGGTATGTACGTTTTTGTAACTTTCTTTGGGTCAGCAAAGGAATCTGGCAATTGATTAGCTAGCTTTTCAAATGTATAATCTTATGGACCTCTGATTCTCATGCCAGAGTCCGAGGATCTTGCCAATTTAAGGATGTTTGATTTCATTATATTTCTTTTATTGCTTTACCCAGCTTGTTCGTCTCTCCACCTATAGTAGGAAATTCGGATTCATTCAAATGACAATCCGCGTATCTAGCCTTAAATAGATCACCCGTAGTTGGCTCTAGATACTTAATAATGGTGGGAGAATCAAATCCAACATATATTCCCATCCTCCTTTGAGGTCCCATCTTTGTTCTATGTAGTGGAGCAATCGGTACATATATGGCACACCCGAAAGTCTTTAGATGGGATATGTCTGGCTCATGACCCATGAGTAATTGGGATGGTGAATATCTATTTTCACTAGATGGCCTTATGCGTATAAGCCCTGATGCATGTAAAACAGCGTGTCCCCAAGCGGCTACAGGAAGCTTCGACCTCATGAGTAATGGTCGAGCTATCAATTGAATTCGTTTAATGAAGGATTCCGCTAATCCATTCTGTGTATGTACATGTGCTACGGGATGTTCTACACTTACCCCCATGGACATACAGTAGTCATTAAACGCTTGGGACGTGAATTCACCGGCATTGTCTAGACGTATAGTCTTAAGCGGAAAATCTGGAAAGTGGGCTCGCAGTCTTATTATCTGGGCCAATAACCTAGCAAACACTTGGTTTCTAGTAGATAGGAGACAAACATGCGACCATCTTGTCGATGCATCAATGAGGACCATACATATATCTCCTTGTATCCTTTCCATAAATTTTAAGGTCTCTTTATTTACCTTAGCCGGTGATGGCCTTATAATGAGTTTCCCTTGTGAACATGCTTCACACGTGAGATTCTTAGGGATAACTCTTTTCTCTTTTAGGGTGTGCCCCTTTGAATTTATCATAAGCTTACGCATCATACTATGACCCGGATGGCCAAGCCGGTCATGCCATAAAGTGAATTTCTCGATGAACTCTTTGTTCATTGCCATATTAGCTTCGATCATATCGATTTTAGCATAGTAGAGACCAGTGGATAATGCGGGTATAGTCTCTTAGGACTTTCTTATGTCCTTGGGTGATCTCAATTATATTTAGGAATTCTTTGTTCCCTTCACCCTTTGTTTCAATATGGAAACCATTCAATCTTATATTTTTGAAACTTGACAAGCTCCTCTTCGAGCTGGGTGAATATAGGGCATCGCTTATTTCAAGATGCGTGCCCTTTGATAAAAGTATATGGGCTTGACCATGGCCCTCAATAAGACTAGCTATACCCGCTATGGTGCTAATATTGGCATTTTTCATTATGAGATTTAGGAAAATATCTCTTATCTTTTGTGTGGCTCCACTATCCACCACAATTATGTTCTTGTCCTCGGCCATTTCTTATATGGACAAGAATCATGTTCTAAACATAAAATAATATAAAATAAATTCAAGCAAATAACAATCAATGAACACATAAAATGCAAAGAAAAACATAGAGGTTTTGATGTCGAAGTAAGATTTATCAACTTGATTCTTTTATGCAATCAGAAGTTTCATACTCTATTAGATCATCTTGATCATGTTCACCATCTTTATATACCAAATGGGCTTTAGGATTCTTCCCTTTTACACTCTCTTGA